CTCCCCTCAGCACTCCCCCACCACCCCGCGAGCCCAACCCGTGCCAGGCTGGCACCGTTCACTCGGCATTTACAAACTTTTGAACCCGCGTGCCAGACCCACGCCGTTCCCTAAACGCATTATTTTTTGTAAAAAAAAAAAAAACACAACCCGTTCCGTTGTTCTTCTCAAACGGATGCTACTGCACACCCACACACGCTACCTTAACGTGGTCCTTAATCAACGATGTAGATTAGACTGTTGATTTATTTTGTCGTTTGTCTGTGAACGCGAGGCGATGGCTACCCCGCGCGTCCATCTCTGTACGTGCGTCACAGGGGCCCAGCGGGCATCGCTCGCGCGACTCACGGCGAGGGAGGGGGGGGGTGGCGGCGGGGTCATATGAACTCAGAATCTGAATAATTATTTATACTGGAAGAATCCGATGAGCTATGAAGCTCTTTTTCACAGATGTCCCAGTAGAGCTGAGTGTCTCTCCCAGGACCATGCCGCGAACCCCACCAACCCCCTGCCCCTCTCACCCCACGTCGCTTCCCACTGCGCGAATCCGGGGGTTGCATTCAGCCGCGTGTTTGTTCACGGAGGGGGGAGCCTGTTCACGCCACCCTCCCCCTCCTCTCACTCCGCTGGCTCCGCGCTCGCTACTCTGCCTCGGCCACGTGGTGCCCGATTTCGCATCTCCGCGACTCTCGGTGCGCCATCATCGCTTGGCTGTCTCCTAGCTGTCCCTTGGTCTCTTCCTCCACTTGCGGACCCCCCTTCCCACCCCCCCCCCCCCCGCCATGGAGGGTCATTGTCCTTCTCCTCGTCGGGAGCTGATTTCCCATAATCGCAGGCAGCTGTCTCGGGTAGCCATCACCGCGGTGCGTCGTGAGTTGGGTGTCTGTGCGGTCTACGCCACACTTTTTGGGAACGCATCTTCGGGTAAAGCGAGGAAAAAATCCGTATTCGTATTGTTCGCCGCACGCGGTTGAGCTGCACCCACCGAATACAGAGAATGCTGAGAGCGATTCGGCTACGTTATCCCGACCCGGACCGGAGCCCGAGGTTCCGGCTCACGGTCCCGCGCGCCCCCTGCTCCTCGCTGCGGGGTGAAGCCCCCCCCACCCCCGAAACCAGAGCGCGGTCTGCAGCTGCCCCCTTGTCGAGAGGGCGCAGTGGGGATCCTGGTTCCCTCGCGTTGCGAGGTTCGGTCCTCGTCCTTCTCCACGTGCCACCCTACCGAGTCGCGATCGCGCCTCCGGCCTCCGTGTCGGGGGGCCACCGCTCTGGGCCGCCTCGACCTTTCACCTTGTCCCGCCGACTATTGTACAATCACACGCGCGCGCACGCGCACACACAACGACAAAGAAGCCTCCACAGCCTGTGGCGGCTAGTGCTGTTTGCGAGCACCTATGAAGGCCAGCACGGTTACACGAGGGTTGGGTGACCAGCACCACGCCCGGCCGCCTTTGTCTCCCCAGTGACGATGGGGAGACAAAGGCGTCACTGGGTAGACAAACGCTCCCCAGTGACGATGTTCATATACCGCACCAGGTGCTCATTTAAGGCTGAGTCGACCTAGGGGAGGCTCAGATAATCGTCACTGGGGTTGCCGTTAAGCGGGAATCGAACGCGGGTCGCAAGGTTCATAGGGCAGCGCACTAACAGCCAAACGACCACTCCGCACGCACGCGCGCGCACGCACGCACGCGCTGTTATCGAACACCAAGTATTGCCCTGCGCCGCAGCGCCAGGCTCAGAGTGTGTCACCGGCAGCACGCCAGCTCGGGGCAGACAGGCGAGGGGTGAAAGCGGTGCTGTGTTGTGTTTTTTTTTTTATCCGAGAGATGATTGGGATGTTCGCTAATAGTGAGAGAGCACGGGGGGGGGGGGGGGGGTTGCGAGGTGGGATGAGGGGCGGGGCGCGCCGGGCGCTTTGGCACGCGCCATTCAGCTGCCACGACCGCGCGCGCGCCGCCCCCAGAGAACCTGCAGGGCGCCTCTCCCCCAACTCCACCACCGCCGCAACGCGGCACCCATCGCCGCTTCGCTCTCTAGGCCAGAGGCCACTCGTCGCCTCTCTCCATCGGGATGGCGACTTCCTCCCGGGGCCACCGTCACGTCGCCTTTCTCCTCCTCCTCCTCCCGCTGCTGCTGCCGCTGCTGCTGCTGCTGCTCGCGATGACGCCAAAGAGCGTCACAGGTGCAGTTGAGTGTCCAGAGAGTCGGCGTCGGGACGGGCGAAAGCGCAATCGGCGTGGGGTCTCTCGTCACGGTGAAGTTGGATGTCGCGTTGCGCTCGCCCTGTGGTCGCGCAACTCGCTGTGCTTACCGCACGGAACGCGGAGCGGTCTCAGGGACCCAGTTCGCCTCCCTTGCTCGTGGATAGATCACCGCGCAGTCCCGGACCGGTGACAGGATTCGAACTTGGGACTTTGATGGCCACTGCGATATGAATGCCGTGAGTGCGTACCGGCGTCTGTCGTTGTGCGTGCGTGTGTGTGTGTGGAGGGGCAGTGTAGCAGTGGAGCTAACCGGGTTTGTAGAATGCTGCGCTTCGAAAACGGAGACCTAAGTTCGCGTTTCGCTCACGGAAAACACCAGCGTTTAATGAGTACATGGTGCGGTGTGTAAACATCACCAATAGGGAGGCAAAGGCGGCCGGGCGTGGTGTTGGCCATTTATCCCCTCGCGTGCCGTGCCGGCCTTCACAGATGCTCGCTAACAGCACTTGCCCCAGGAGTCTGTTAAGGCTATTGGGGTGTCTTTGTCTTTTTGCGTGAGAGTGCAGTGAGTTGGACGCAGTGGTGTGTGTACCGCTGCGCTACGAACCCCTTTACCCGAGTTCTATTTACGCTCACGGCCAACACCAGTAATAGCGATTATCTGAACCGGTCCTGAGCTTCCCCTAGGTCGACCTCAGCCTTAAACACGCGCGTGTGTGTGTGTCGAGGCACGAGTGGCATCCCGTGTGGCCACGTGATGAGCTGGGCAAGACTCCAGCTCTGGGTCGTCGCATCTGCATCCCTCACTTGACGCAACGGCAGGTGTCTGTTCTGGTGTCTTCCACCTCGACTCATCATCGGGCACGCACGGACCGCCTTGCCAGTCAACGGCAACTACGGCTCCCCAAGTCGGGCGTCGATGTTGTTGTTGTTGTTGACGCTGACCAAATTCACAGCTATTCTCGGAAGCCAGATCTTCTTGTTGCGCATTGACGCTCACTTGTTCTAAACGAGATCGCGTAACCCCTAACACCCCCCCCCCACCGCCGCCGCCTCCTATCGATGAGTTACAGATGTTCTCGGCCTCAAATGGGACGGTTGGTTTAGCGCTCAGAAACGAGCGAGCTTGCCTAATCCACAGGCCTCAGCTGTCGCGGAGGCTCGCGGACAACACAGAGCAAAGGCCAAGATCCACCACATTCGAGAGCTCGTGCAGGATAGATGGGACCTGTTAGCGAGCACAGCATTTTAGAGTCCGGCACGGCACACGAGGGGGTGGGTGGCCAGCACCACCTCAGCGGGGATGTTTACGCACCGCACCAGGTACCCATTCACGGCTGAGTCGACCCAGGAGAGGCGCACAGAGCCGGTTACAACTTTCTCCACTGTTATTGGTTATACGCGGGAATCGAATTCGGGTCGCTGGGTTCGTAATGCGGCGCGCCAACCACTGCGCCACCGCTCACCGTACATAGACACAGACAGACGTACAGACACACAAATCAAAGACGGACACACTCGACCTCCAGGTACTGATTTGAGGCTGAGTCGACCTAGGGGAGTCCCAGGACTGGTGGGCGAGAATCGAACTCACGTCGCTGGGTTCCTAGCGCAGCGCGTTAACCGCTACACTCCCGCTGCGCACATAGACACAGACGCACACACAGCACAGGTCCACACAGATGTACAGACACACAAATCAAAGACATATGCAGACGCACTCGAACTTTGGCTGCATCCACGCAACCCTGCCGACTGGGTGTGCATGGCGGTCATTGTTTTGAAGCTGCGCAATGTGTAATAATGTGTCACATTGTGTCGCGTTGTGTAACATTGTGTGACATTGTGTCATTGTGTCGCATTGTGTCACATCGCGTGGCATTGTGTCACTGAGTCGCGTTGTGTCCCATCGCGTGGTCTTGTTTCGCGTTGTGGCGCAGCGAGGCGGCGACACTCCCTGGGGGGAAGGGTGCGGGCTGAGTGGTGTTGGGTGGCGTGGCTGGCACGAAACGGGTGGCGGTAGGCGAGCTAGGGGGTCACTGGGTTGTCGAGGGAGTGCGTGGGTCATGTAGGGCACGGGAGTGGGGGCAAGAGGGGGGTGGGGTTAGAAGGGAGTGAGACCCCCCCCCCCCCACACACCTGGCACTCACGAATTGAATTGGACAAATATACAAATATTAAAATGCCCCCCGCAAACTCCCCTTTGCCGCTTGGTCAAACTTCCTCGTGTTGATTAAAGGGCGTCGTTGTCGTTATGATTGTTGTGGTGGTGATGGTGGTGGTGTTGGCAGCACATTGACGAAGGTCGCGATTAACTTGTGATGACTCCCAATAATCCACCGGTGATAAGGGTGACGGTGATTTGATGATAGCAGCGATGAGGATGATGATTCATTGTTGATTTTTGGGTCAGTCCGCGGAGGTAAAATTCGTGTGGCACGGCCTCCTCAAACCCGACGCAGTCGATTAATAAAGTTGTCACGTGGAGAAACGTGGCCAAATTAGTTATTTTTGAATTGGAAAACGTTCCACACACTGTCACCAATTCGGTAGTCCGACGTTTCGCTGGCAGTTACCGCCAGTATGATTAGGCAATTGTGGAGGAGTATGTACGACACGCATTTTGTTCACGCGATTTGTCCTCAACAATTAATTATGAATCACCATCATTATCACCATCAAATCACTGTCATCGTAATCACCCGTGGCTTATTGCCGTCATCATTATCTCATCACAATCTTTGCCATCGTGTTAACGCCACCACTTCCACCACTTAGCATCACAACAACAACAACAACAACGACAACGACGACGCCTCCACCTTTGGGCCCTTCCACACACCCTTCTCCCCCGTGCCACCCCCAGCTCTCCGCTGCGTGTGCCTGCGCTGCGCCCGCACCAACTACACCTGCGACACGGACGGCCTGTGCCTCGCCTCGGCCACGCGTCTGGAGAACGGCTCCGTGGTGCACGAGCGAGTGTGCGTCTCGCTGCGCAACCTGCAGCCTCCGCACCGCCCCTTCTTCTGCCTGCGCTCCGTGCAGTTCTACGAGACGCTCTGCTGCGACACGGACTTCTGCAACAGCGTGGACATCGCCCCGCCCGCCAGCAGCGGTGAGCTGAGCGGGCAGTCGTGGCCACCCATCACCCACCCCACTGCGCCACCGCTCCCCACGCGAAAACGCGGACAGAAACAAAGAGCCCCCTTAACAGCCCGAACAGACTGTGGGGGCAAGTGCCGTTAGCGAGCGCCTACGAAGGCCGGCACGGCACACGTGGGGGTGGGTGGCCAGCACCACAACCGACCGCCTTTGTCTCCCCAGTAGCGCTGTTTTTACACACCGCACTAGGTACTCATTTGAGGCTGAGTCGACCTAGGGGAGGCCCAGGACTGGTGAGCGGGAATCGAACTCGCGTTCATAGCACAGCGTGCTAACCGCTACACTACCGCTCCTCACATCGACAAAGATCCCCCGTATAGCCTTAACATACTGTTGGGGCAAGTGCTGTTAGCGAGCACCTATGAAGGCCTGTATTGACACAGACACACACAGATGTATAGACACAGGCACACACACAGATGTATAGACACAGACACACACAGATGTATAGACACAGATACAGACACAGATGTATAGACATATACACACACAGATGTATAGACACAGACACACACAGATGTATAGACACAGACACACACAACATCAACCGCCATTCGCCACTAAGTGGCGGTGACGTCACCACGACGCTTGTGCCAGGATATGTGCACCCTGAGGCCACGTGAAGTGTCGAACGCCCGCTGGCAGGAAGTCACGGGGCGGGCCCAGGTGCCACGGGTCGATTGACTGAGATGACTGGCTGGTGCACCACCTGTGCCCCCTCCTGTGCCAACCCGTTGTGCTTTAGCCACCCAGCGCTCCGCTCGTTGTGAGCGTCGCTCCTCCGCCCTCCGTTGTTGTTGGAGGGCGACTAGCTCCAACTGCCCAGTAGCGTCCTTCACCAGCCTCCTCCACAGAGGCCGATCTTGACACCGCTGGTACCAGTCATCGGCAAGTACACTCAGCTCCACGTCCTCCTGCACCACATCACTCCATCTCTTCTCTAGCCCGTGCCGCGCCCGTTTAGCCCCCTCAATCCGGCCGAACAAAAGTTGTTTCGGCATGCGGTGGCTAGGCATGCCGGAGGAGCTCACCGATGGGACCTTGTCCAGATCTTTCAAGGATTTGTGAGCTTCTCACACAATCCAGTCTGGTTAAACCCAGGATGGATCGTAGGCAGGCCAGCCTAAATGTTTCTAACCGGCGAAGATGTTCCATCAGGGGGTCCACGTTTCGCAACCGTAGAGAAGGGAGGGAATGACCGTGGCCAAGAAGACCTGAAGCTTAGTGCGGAGCGACAGACCAGGTAGCTTCCACACAGCGTTACGCAACCGATGCAAAGATATTGCCGCTCGACTGATTCGGAGTGAGACCTCTGCTGTTAAACTGGAGCCGGTCATAAGCACACTGCCCAGGTATGGGAAACTCTCCACTCTCTCCACAATTGCCCCATCACCGATTGGGAGTTGTGGGGGTGGAGTGTCTGATGGTACAAAATACCCAGGCAGGTGCTTAGTTTTGGTGGGGCTGATGGTAAGGCCCCACCTCTTAGTGGCACGCACCAGTCTCAGCAGCAGCGTCTCCAACTCCTCCTCTGAATGAGTAGCTATTACCAGCATACATAACGTGGTTGAGCAATAGGGAGCCATCCCTAGGCCGCACCCGGGCATCGATCAGCCTCCCATTATATCTGTACCATATGGAGATTCCCCCGGTACAGCTATTGAAGGTTTCACGAACTACGTGGTCAAAATAGATGTTAAATAATGTGGGAGCCAGAGGACATCCCTTTCGCACCCCAAGATGTACAGGGAATGGCTCTGACTCCCGGCCACGTAGTTTTACCCGGGCCCGCTCACCATCATGAAGATCCTTAATGATCGTGAGCAGAGGTTCAGGTACTCGAAAAGCACGAAGAACAACCCAGAGCCCAGGCCTACTGATGGTATCATAGGCCTTGACCAGGTCAATAAAGCAGAGATGTAGGTCTTGTTGGAATTCCCTATACCTCTGCTATAGCAGACGGACAGAACATATGGCATCTGTGCAGGACCGCCCTTTCCTGAAACCACATTGGGGCTCCGCAAGCCTCTCCTCAACGTGCCTGGCAAGGCAATGTTGAATAATCCTTGCCAGGAACTTTCCCGGCACAATGAGGAGTGAGATGCCCCTGTAGTTGTTACAGTCTGTGCGGTCCCCCTCCTTAAAAAGGGGGACCACCAGGGCATCCTTCCAATCCTGCGGAACCCGTCCAGTGGTCCAGACTGTTGTTATGATGTCATATAGGGCAGTCTGTGCACAAACGCCACCCTCCCTCAACATTTCGCTTGGGAGATCATCTCTGCTCGCTGCCTTTCCTGGTCTCAGACTCTGGATCGCCCTCAGTACATCCTCAACAGATGGCACCTCAGCCAGCCACTCACAGGGGGTGACTTCTTCCAATATTTGAGGCACCGCAGCCTCAGCAGGGTCATCCTCACTTTGTGCCACGATGTTTTCCTGGCTGAGGGATTTTCCCTCCCCCAGGACCTCACAGAAATACTCAGCAAATCTGCAAACCTGTTCCTGGGGGTCGGAGATTGGATCACCGTTTTTTCCCCTAATGATGGTAATAGGTGTGGCGCTGCAGGTTACTTTTTTGATGGAGTTAAATAGAGATTTGTGATCACGGGCCACTGAGGCAGACTCCATCTCCTCAGCAACCCGCGACCACCACCCATCCTTGCAGCGCCTCATGGCTCTCCGAACCTCCGAGCGAAGGCTGTGGTAAGCCTCCTCATTCTCTGATGTGGGATTCTGTAGCCGATGACAGTGGGCCTGTCGCTTTTTCTCAACCATCCTGAACACCTCCTGTCAGCCAGGGTCTCTGGGGAGGTCTGGACCGCGTACCCAAAGCAGCCATTGCAGCTGCATGAGTCACAGTCCTAAACCTCGCCCATTTACCCTCGACATCAGGAGGAGTCGGGGACGATGCCAATCCCAGCTGCAAGCGATGATGAAATTCTCGCTTGCAACTTTCATCAGATAACTGAGACCAGGCCACATTAGATTGGAATGGGGTCCTGGGTGTACACCCACCACCGGAGTGGAAAAATGGCAGGCGCATCTTACAGGTGACTAGTCGATGGTCAGAGGGCAGATCAGCTCCACGGTAGGTCCTGGTGTCAAGGGCATGAGCTCGCATCCGCTGGTCTGTCACTATGCAGTCCAGCAGATGTTCTTACTTGGACCCGGCATGCATCCATGATGTTGTGTGGATGCGCCGATGCCGGAACAGCGTGTTGGTAATTACAAGCCCATGGGCTGCACAAAAATCTAGCAGCCTCCTACCGTTGTTATTGAGCTGATCTGGCTCATGCCCTCCAATCACTCCAGACCAGGTGCCAACATCATGACCAACTCGGGCATTGAAGTCACCCAACATGATGACTCTATCCAGAGGGGCCACTTTAGCCAGCACCTGTGACAGGAGGTCATAGAAGGCATCTGACTCATCGGCTTTGCCTGCATCCCTCCACGGATGTTCATCTTCGGTGGGGGCATAAGTAACCATGACCACCATTCCTCGCCTCCGGTTGATGGGAAGGCGAGCCCAAAGTAGCCTGGGGCTTACAGCTTCCCACACCTCACTGCCACGCTCCCACGCCCCCTTCATTCTTTTGTTCAAAAGAAGAGCCACACCCTGTTGTTTGGCAGTCTGCTGCCCCGAGTAGAGGACTGTCCACCCCTCATGGTGGCAGGAGCCAGAACCGGTCCACTGGACCTCCTGAATGCCACATAGATCCAGGCGGTACCGGTCCAGCTCCCGACAGAGGAGTGGCAGCCTCTCCTCCGCAGTGAGCGTTTGAACATTCCACGTGGCCACCCGTAGTGGTTTTTCGTTGTTTCTGAAGGAGCCCCGAGGGTAGATATTCAATCTCCTGGCTCCGCCAATTGGGGTTTGGCCAGGAGACGTCATAGATGCCTGGCCCCCCGGGGCCTCCGGCACAAGCTTATGAGTTATATACTTAATTCGCGGTTTAGTGATAATTAATTGAAGGTGGAGGGGTTACCAGCCCTTCACACCCGTCCAGAGCCCCCGTTTAGCCCCTGTGGTGGACACAGATGCCATGAGGGGAGGAGCCAATCGAAATTAGACCTCCCCCCACAGCACTGTCCACGACAGAGTTGCCCGTCTGGCACCGCGAGGAGGTAGGGGGTTGTTTTGCCGGACACAGACACAGATGTATAGACACAGACACACACAGATGTATAGACACAGACACACACAGATGTATAGACAGACACACACAGATGTATAGACACAGACACATACAGATGTATAGACAGACACACACAGATGTATAGACACACACGCAGATGTTTAGACACAGACACACACAGATGTATAGACAGACACATATGTATAGACACAGACACACACACAGATGTATAGACACACAAATCAAAGGCACACGGACGCACTCGAGCTCTGGCTTCATGCACGCGTGTAATAATGTGTCACATTGTGTCGCGTTGTGTAACATTGTGGGCTTTCACACACCTCCCATCAGCACGGTTGGCTACGTACGGTGCGAAGGAAGCGCAACGTACATACAGACATCACACGCCACACACGCGCGCGACTCGACATCACGAAGTGGCGCTGGTAATAAATGGGTGCTCGCTAACAGCACTTGCCCCAAAAAGTCTGTTAAAGCTTTACGGGGGGTATTTGTCTTTGATGGTGATGAAGCCACCAAAGGTGTTTTTGGAGGCCGGGGCAAATGTGCCCCTCTCTCGTAACGCCCCACTGAGCCCTCTGGGACGATGACGCCTCCCTCGGATATGAGATCAGGAACCACCCTGGATGACGGTGACGATGGAGATGGATGACAGTGGCTCGATTTTTATTAACTTATTCGGGATTTTATTCGAAGTTATGTTTTCAGCCAAATAATGATGAGTTGTTGATTATACGAGTGGGAGGAAACCGGAGCGCCCGGATAATGATTTGATGTTTTTTTAATGATGTTAGTGCCTGATAATGTCCGATGATAAATAATGGATGGATAATGATGAAGAACGCGTCTGTGATGATGATAATGATGACAGTAATTACATAGGGAGTGGATATTGGCATTGTCGTGATGATGACCATAACTGTGATTACAACATGGTGATTGATACGCTGATACTGCTGCTGATGCTGCTGATGCTGCTGATGATGCCGATACTCATGATGCTGATGATTAGGCTGATAATGCTCATGATGCTGAAGGTGATACTCATGATGATGATGATGCTGATGATGATGCTGATACTGCTGTTGATGATACTGCTGTTGATAATGATATTGATGATGACACTGATACTGTTGCTGATGATGCTGAAGATGATGCTGATAATGACAATGCTTCTGATGATGCTGACGATGATGCTGATGACACTGATACTGCTGCTGATAATGCTGATGGTGATGATGGTGACGCTGATACTGCTGATGATACTGCTGCTGATGATACTTGTGATGCTGCTACTGTTGCTGCTGATGATGCTAACGATGATGCTGACACCCCCAGTGGGCCCGACTCTGTCCCCGGGCCCGGCGCCGCTGTGGGGCCACCTCCACGTGGTGATGGTCGCCTCCGCGCTCACGGTGCTCTTCGCGTGCCTCTCGGCCGCGGGGCTTCGCGTGCTGCGTGGCTGGGGGAGTCAGGAGGGCCCCCTCGCCGTGGGCAGGCTGCAGGGCGGCCCCCGGGCTAACAAGGAGCAGGCCCTGGGTCAGGCGTACATCCTGGACGGGGTCAGCATCCGGGACCTCTACGACTCGGGAACGACCGGGTCTGGATCTGGTACCCACCCCGCACCGCCCCCGCTGCTCACACCACCCCCGCCGGAGCCTCACGCGGCACATCCCGAAAGCGCCCACGATTGTGACGTTACTCATCCTACTATTCTAATGGGATCCCACATTCCGTATGGCGCACTCCTACTCTGCGGTGGCTAGGAGATGTTAACTACCTCGTCCGGTATACAGGAGGTCGTGGGTTCGATCCCGACGCCTGTGTATTTGGAGTTTGCGTGTTCTCCCCGAGGTGGCGTGGATTTTTCTCTGAGTCGTCTGGTTTTTCCTTCCACATTTAGAAACGCGCATTTAGAGTATTAGGTTGCTGTACATTTACACGTGAAAAGCCACTTTGTTGAGATATCATTTGTGGCCAGGTCGCTTCTGGAAAAAGGGCCATGTAGCTGAGTGGGCCTTACCTGAAAAAAATAAAAGTATGAGTGGTTATACCATCTGCTCATCTGGCGACATTTGGTTAGCAAGCCCGACACTGCTGATGGGACCCAGGCGTTCGAAACCGGTCCAGAGGGTTGTGCTTGCGTTAACAAACGCTGCTTGATATAATCATTGGTCCGGAAATCCGATAATTAGGCTGAGAGGTAGAGTGGAGATTGCGTATTTTCTTTGACCTATTATCGCATGGGGGACGGTCTGCTCGGATTTCCCTTCTCCGTGAAGTTCTCCGCTCTGGCCAAATAAACGACGGGCCGAGAAGAATGACGACAATGACGTTTGCTTCACCACGTGGCTCGTTGCAGCCGCGAATAGTGGCGTCACCTGGCGGACGGAGCGCGGTGTTGCACCAAACAAAACGAGAGTCGGAGGAGGCTTCTTTAGATAACTGCTCACGCTATGCAGTTCTCTTTCAAGCGAGTCTGGTCATGATGGCCGTGGTTCAGAGTAATCTGAGCCAGCGCCGCTGAGATGCTGGGTTCGGATTGTGGTGTGAGCCGCCTCTGAGTGATTAAACCTGGATTCTTCACAATAAAGGTTATTTTGGGTTAGATCGCGTGAAAATGAATGTGTCGTTGATGATTACAACCGGCTTTTATCGGGCGATTTGCCAGAATTTATATTTTTTACGCGATCTAACCCAATAACCGTCTTTATGAATAACATCGACAGTGAAAGCCAACGACGTGTCACTCAAACCTGGTTTAAACAATCCTGGTTTAAACAAACCTGGATTAAACAAACCTGGTTTAAACAAACCTGGTTTAAATAATCCTGGTTTAAACAAACCTGGTTTAAATAATCCTGGTTTAAATAATCCTGGTTTAAACAAAACTGGTTTAAACAATCCTGGTTTAAACAAAACTGGTTTAAACAATCCTGGTTTAAACAATCCTGGTTTAAACAAACCTGGTTTAAACAATCCTGGTTTAAACAAACCTGGTTTAAACAATCCTGGTTTAAACAAACCTGGCTTAAACAAACCTGGTTTAAACAAACCTGGCTTAAACAATCCTGGTTTAAACAAACCTGGTTTAAACAAACCTGGTTTAAACAAACCTGGTTTAAACAAACCTGGTTTAAACAAACCTGGCTTAAACAATCCTGGATTAAACAAACCTAGCTTAAACAAACCTGGTTTAAACAATCCTGGTTTAAATAAACCTGGTTTAAACAATCCTGGTTTAAATAAACCTGGTTTAAACAATCCTGGTTTAAACAAACCTGGTTTAAACAATCCTGGTTTAAACAAACCTGGTTTAAACAATCCTGGTTTAAACAAACCTGGTTTAAACAATCCTGGTTTAAACAAACCTGGTTTAAATAATCCTGGTTTAAACAAACCTGGTTTAAACAATCCTGGTTTAAACAAACCTGGTTTAAACAATCCTGGTTTAAACAAACCTGGTTTAAACAATCCTGGTTTAAACAAACCTGGTTTAAACAATCCTGGTTTAAACAAACCTGGTTTAAACAATCCTGGTTTAAACAAACCTGGTTTAAACAAACCTGGTTTAAACAAACCTGGCCTAAACAAACCTGGCATAAATAAACCTGGCTACTCGCGGCCACGAATTAATCCACACCAAAACAAACGTTTGTCACTTCATCTGGCAAAGCTTGCAGCCCTGTTGAAAGTGACAACAAAGTAGCCGCTCAGAAATCTAAGGTCATTCTCGAATGAGGAGCTGGCGATGCCAGTTCTGAGAAGAGGACCGATTCCTCGTCTCGTTACATAACCACGGCTGCACAGTCAGAAAAGAACTGTGGGCACAAGATCAGGGACGTTCCTTTAGTACCTTCTGGCTCTAAGATTAAAAATACACTTTCACTGGGATGCAGCGAACACAACTTGTAGGGTGGAGAAGGTCACTGGACGTGGCTCCACGATTGTCCCGGACCGGTAACTCACACGGGGCTGTCCGCTCGCCGCCAGGGTTATGACAGGTGACGTTGTCCCTCCTGCCACAGTGACGGCAGATAAGGCACAGCTGGAAGTCCACTTTGGGAGAAAAAAAAGTAGCAAATGAAACAAAATTAACAGCAACGCGAGTCATGTTTTATCAGGGAAAGCGTCAGCGAATTCCACGATTATTTCTCAGGAGGATCCTGCACTGATCGGGGGCGTTGGGTCAAATCGATTTCACACGTGCGAGGAAACCGGATTAACCAAAGTAACTCGACGTGCATTTGGGGATAACAATTAAAACTCCGCACAGATAGGTTCAATAATCCATTGCTGAAAATCATTGCTATTTTTAGTGCCCGCAGACCTGAGTGTATATCTAATGCTGTGGGCCACACAGCCACGCCGCTGATCTATGGGTCTCTATGTGAGTATATGGGTCTCTATACGCATTTATTGTCTCTATGTGAGCCTATGGGTTCTCTACGTGATGAGTATATGTGTTCTCTATGTGAGCCTATGAGTTCTCTATGTGAGTCTGTGGGTGTAACCCTGAAGCCATGCACGAGCTCACCTATTAACCTTGACATCAACATATCCACATTACTGATCAACTTTCCCATGCAACCTTACACGACAAGAAGAGGGTGAAGGAGGGCGAGGTTGGATGGATGTGTGTCCACTGCGCCGTGGGGTTGACCTCGCTAGGTGACTCGTGGGTGACCTGCTGGGTGAGCCCACTGCGTGACGTGGGGTTGACCCCACTGGGTGACCCGTGGATGAACCGTGGGTGAGCCGCTGGGTGACCCGCGGGGTTGTCCCTGCTGGGTGACCCACTGGATCACCCGTGGGTGACCCGCTGGGTGACCCGTGGGTGACCCGTGGGGTGACCCCGCTGGGTAACCCACTGGGTGACCTGCTGGGTGACCCGTGGGTGACCCGTGGGTGACCCGCTGGGTGACCCCGCTTGGTGACCCCGCTGGGTGACCCGTGGGTGACCCGTGGGGTGACCCCGCTGGGTAACCCGCTGGGTGACCTGCTGGGTGACCCGTGGGTGACCCGTGGGTGACCCGCTGGGTGACCCGCTGGGTGACCCCGCTTGTTGACCCCGCTGGGTGACCCGTGGGTGACCTGCTGGCTTGACCCCACTGGGTGACCCCGCTCGGTGACCCCACTGGGTGACCCGTGGGTGACCTGCTGGCTTGACCCCACTGGGTGACCCCGCTCAGTAACCCCACTGGGTAACCTGTGGGTGACCTGCTGGCTTGACCCCGCTGGGTGACCCCGTGCCCGTGCCAGGCCTGCCGCTGCTGGTGCAGCGCACCATCGCGCGCACCATCGTGCTGCAGGAGGCCATCGGCAAGGGCCGCTTCGGCGAGGTGTGGCGCGGCGTGTGGAGCGGGGAGCACGTGGCCGTCAAGATCTTCTCGTCCAGGGACGAGCGCTCGTGGTTCCGCGAGACGGAGATCTACCAGACCATGATGCTGCGCCACGAGCACATCCTGGGATTCATCGCCGCCGACAACAAAGGTATCGGGCGCGGCGCCCCGAGCCCCACCAACGAAATGAAACCAAGCCACGAGCCGCCACTGCTTCCGTTTGAAATACAATCTGACTATGGCACTGCAGCCACGTGCCGAACCCCCCCCCCCCGGCCCCCCTTCGTTAAATTACATTTGCCCCCCCTTTAGACCCGTTCTCTATTCCTGTAACATGTAAAGTGTCTTTCGTTTCTCTTCCCCCGCATCTCCGAATAGCACGGTTGGCTACGTACGGTGCGAAAGAAGTTCAACACGTATGCGACCGACACTCGCCGCTTGTATCGCTGACCTATGCTCACCACGGTTGCAACCAAGGTCCGTAGCTCATTGGGGGCGACTTTGCTGCTGAAATGAATAATATCTTTAAATAAATAAATAAAAACACACCCCCGTGGGGCACAACGCGAAAGAGCATCGGAGAGCCAAACAGCACAATCGCGATGACGCGGCGCGGTGGTGTGACCCCGGATTTAAAGAGGCGCAACCTGCGGCGCCACGCTCGCACGTTGTCCGTGTCCACCTCCTCGCAGACAACGGCACGTGGACGCAGCTGTGGCTCGTGTCCGACTACCACGAGCTGGGCTCCCTGTTCGACTTCCTGAACCGCACCACGGTGACCGAGAGGGAGGTCATCACGCTCGCCCAGTCCGCAGCCAGCGGCCTGGCGCACCTGCACATGGAGATCGTGGGCACGCAGGGTGAGCTGCCTCCTCCAGGCTCACCACACCAGGCTCACCACACCGGAGTCATCGGGCGAGGCTCACCACACAAGAGTGGCCAGGCTCGCCACACCATCCTCGCCATAGCAGGCGTGCTGTGCCACTCTCATCGTGGTCTATCTCTAACATTGTCACTTTATCACTCTGTCGATCGCTCTGTGAAATCTTCTGTGGCCCTCTCTGTCAGCATGTGGCTCTCTCTGTCACTCCGTGACCCTCTCTGTCACCCCGTGGCTCTGTAAGTCTGTGGCTCTCTCTGTCAGCCTGTGGCTCTGTCATTCCGTGGCTCTCTCTGTCACTCCGTGGTTCTCTCTGTCAGCCAGTGGCCCTCTCTGTCACTCCGTAGCTCTCTCTGTCACCCCGTGGCTCTCTCTGTCACCCCGTGGCTCTCTCTGTCACCCCGTGGCTCTCTCTGTCAGCCCGTGGCTCTCTCTGTCACTCCGTAGCTCTCTCTGTCACCTCGTGGCTCTCTCTGCCACCCCGTGGCCCTCTCTGTCAGCCTGTGGCTCTGTCAGCCTGCGGCCCTCTCTGTCACCCGTGGCCCTCTCTGTTAGCCTGTGACTCTGTCAGCCTGTGGCTCTCTCTGTCAGCCTGTGGCCCTCTCTGTCACCTCGTGGCTCTCTCTGTCACCCCGTGGCTCTCTCTGTCACACCGTGGCCCTCTCTGTCACCTCGTGGCTCTCTCTGTCACCTCGTGGCTCTCTCTGTCACCCCGTGGCTCTCTCTGTCACCCCGTGGCCCTCTCTGTCACCTCGTGGCTCTCTCTGTCACCCCGTGGCTCTCTCTGTCACCTCGTGGCCCTCTCTGTCACCCCGTGGCCCTCTCTGTCAGCCCGTGGCCATCTCTGTCACCCCGTGGCCCTCTCTGTCAGCCTGTGGCTCTGTCAGCCTGTGGCTCTCTCTGTCAGCCTGTGGCTCTCTCTGTCACCTCGTGGCCCTCTCTGTCACCCCGTGGCTCTCTCTGTCACCTCGTGGCCCTCTCTGTCACCCCGTGGCCCTCTCTGTCAGCCAGTGGCCCTCTCTGTCACTCCGTAGCTCTCTCTGTCACCCCGTGGCTCTCTCTGTCACCCCGTGGCTCTCTCCGTCACCCCGTGGCTCTCTCTGTCACCCCGTGGCTCTCTCTGTCACTCCGTAGCTCTCTCTGTCACCCCGTGGCTCTCTCTGCCACCCCGTGGCCCTCTCTGTCAGCCTGTGGCTCTGTCAGCCTGCGGCCCTCTCTGTCACCCCGTGGCCCTCTCTGTTAGCCTGTGACTCTGTCAGCCTGTGGCTCTCTCTGTCAGCCTGTGGCCCTCTCTGTCACCTCGTGGCTCTCTCTGTCACCCCGTGGCGCTCTCTGTCACCCCGTGGCCCTCTCTGTCACCTCGTGGCTCTCTCTGTCACCTCGTGGCTCTCTCTGTCACCCCGTGGCTCTCTCTGTCACCCCGTGGCCCTCTCTGTCACCTCGTGGCTCTCTCTGTCACCCCGTGGCTCTCTCTGTCACCTCGTGGCCCTCTCTGTCACCCCGTGGCCCTCTCTGTCAGCCCGTGGCCCTCTCTGTCACCCCGTGGCCCTCTCTGTCAGCCTGTGGCCCTGTCAGCCTGTGGCTCTCTCTGTCAGCCTGTGGCTCTCTCTGTCAGCCTGTGGCTCTGTCACCTCGTGGCCCTCTCTGTCACCCCGTGGCTCTCTCTGTCACCTCGTGGCCCTCTCTGTCACCCCGTGGCCCTCTCTGTCAGCCCGTGGCCCTCTCTGTCAGCCTGTGGCTCTCTCTGTCAGCCTGTGGCTCTGTCAGCCTGTGGTTCTCTGTCAGCCTGTGGCCCTCTCTGTCACTCCGTGGCTCTCTTTGTCACCCCGTGGCTCTTTCTGTCTCCTCGTGGCCCTCTCTGTCACCTCGTGGCCCTCTCTGTCAGCCTGTGGCCCTCTCTGTCACCCCGTGGCTCTCTCTGTCACCTCGTGGCCCTCTCTGTCATCCCGTAGCTCTCTCTGTCACCCTGTGGCTCTCTCTGTCAGCCTGTGGCTCTGTCACCCTGCGGCTCTCTCTGTCACCCCGTGGCTCTCTCTGTCACTCCGTGGCTCTCTCTGTCACCCCGTGGCTCTCTCTGTCAGCCTGTGGCCCTCTCTGTTACCCCGTGGCTCTCTCTGTCACCCCGTGGCTCTCTCGGTCACCCCGTGGCTCTCTCTGTCACCCCGTGGCCCTCTCTGTCAGCCTGTGGCTCTCTCTGTCACTCCGTGGCTCTCTCTGTCAGCCTGTGGCTCTGTCAGCCTGTGGCTCTCTCTGCCACCCCGTGGCTCTCTCTGCCACCCCGTGGCTCTCTCTGCCACCCCGTGGCTCTCTCTGCCACCCCGTGGCTCTCTCTGTCAGCCTGTGGCTCTGTCAGCCTGTGGCTCTCTCTGCCACCCTGTGGCTCTCTCTGCCACCCCGTGGCTCTCTCTGCCACCCCGTGGCTCTCTCTGCCACCCCGTGGCTCTCTCTGCCACCCCGTGGCTCTCTCTGTCAGCCTGTGGCTTTGTCAGCCTGTGGCTCTCTCTGCCACCCCGTGGCTCTCTCTGCCACCCTGCGGCCCTCTCTGTAACCCCGCTGCGCTGTCCGCTGGTTTGTCGGTCACGATTGTCGCTTTCTCCGTCCGTCGCGTCGTTCGTCGTCACTCGGTGACTCACGCAGTCGCCTCCGCCTGTTGGTCACCCAACCAGGGAAGCCGGCGATCGCGCACCGTGACCTCAAGTCCAAGAACATTCTGGTGAAGCGCAACCGCACGTGCTGCATTGCGGACCTGGGCCTCGCCGTGCGCCACGACTCCGCCTCGGACTCCATCGACATCGCGCCCAGCAGCCGCACGGGCACCAAGCGGTGAGCGCCGGCGGCGCGGCATGCGGGGTTCGCCTCGCTCGACGCTCGCCCTTCCATCCAGCGGTGGATTGATCTTGGCTGACGATGACAACGATTTAGGCTGGAGCGGTGGTCTGGTGGTTAATGCACTTGCACTGCTAACCCGGACACTTGAGTTTGATTCTCAACAAGCGGTTAACATTGGTGTACGAGTGATATTCAAGTACTGCGAGGGGGGGGAGCGGGGGGGAGCGAGGGGCAGAGCGGGGGGGGGGGGCAGCAGTCAGCAGTTGCACCGCCTGCCGATGACTCGACAGCTGCTCCGCCCCTTGTGCGCGCGTGCAGGTACATGGCCCCCGAGGTGCTCGCCGACTCCATCAACACGTGGCACTTCGACTCGTTCAAGCGCGCGGATATTTACGCTCTGGGGCTCGTCTTCTGGGAGATGGCGCGGCGCTGCTCCAGTGGGGGTGAGGGCACCGTGGTGCAAACCTGCCCAGCGTCACTCCCAGCACCCCCAACCCAACTCTCCCAACCCCGACCCCGAGTCACCCCACCTCCCAGCTCTCATGGCTTGGTCGCTGATTCTCGATCCCTGCTCTCTCATCCCCACAACCCGATTCCTGCCCGTGTTTTTAAAATCCCCGATCCATTATCCCTGGTTCCCTTTTGCTAATTTCTGATCCGTCGTGAATGATAGTTGGCTACGTGAAAGAAGTTCAACACACACACGTGACCCCCAACACAATATTCCTAATCTCCAATCTCTCTCTATCTCTACCTTTCGCCCTTGGGTCTCATTCCCTGGTCTCTGACTCATAATCCGACGATCCCTATTCGTAACCACAAACCTTGAATCTACGCAGCCTGCCATCGCCGATTTCTGATCGTTCCTACTCGTTGCCTCGCGGGCCGCCGGTCCCCCGCCGGGTGCGCGCAGGGATCACGGAGGAGTACCAGTTGCCGTACCACGACGCGGTCCCCTCGGACCCGTCGGTGGAGGACATGCGGCGCGCGGTGTGCGACCAGAGGCTGCGGCCCAACATCCCCAACCGTTGGCAGAGCTCCGAGGTGAGTGAGGGGCCCGCGTCAAAGCCTCACCCCCCACCATCGCAGTTCGATCCCACGGCACGCGCGTCGCGATGACGGCGTGGCGATGACGGCGTGTGGTGACCCCTGTGTGGAGAGGCAGTCGAGCGAGTCCGTGACTGTCTCTCCGACTCCCTCTGCACTCACGCACCGCTGCCCTGCTTGGCCGCGATGTCACCCATCCTTCCCGACGCGTCCGTCGCTCGCGCCTTTTAATCGATCCCTTCTCAAGGAATTCGCCGTCCTCGACCTCCCCCCCTCTCTCCCCCCATCGCTAAGCGTCAAATGAATAATGCACGGGTGCGCGTAAGTGCTCGCATCGCACTCTGCAGCTGCAATCAAAAGCGGCGGCCCAGCGGCTTTTTTGTCTCTCTCTCTCTCCATTTGAGGCAGCGAGAGAGAGGAGGAGGCGTGAATGATGAGCGCGCTCAGGGGGGCAGAGATTCGTCCGCGCGACGCGTGGGGAGTGCCGGGGGCTGAGGTCACCCCCGGTCACGAACCTTGCTCAACCCCCCACTCCGCCCCCACCCTGACGTTGGTGTGTTTATGAATGTGTGAGTAGGGGTGTATGTGTGTAAATGTGTGTACGCGGTGCTCCAGCGAGACATGTCAGTCAACCCGCGCATGGCATCTGGGTCTGTCCCAGGGAACTCACAGTGGGTGCTGTCTGCCAGTCATCTCAGTCAAGCAGCCCACGGTACCCGATCGGTGACCTCCTGCCAGCGGGCGTTCGACACTTCGCGTGATCCTCAAAGTGCACATAGCCTGGCACAAGCGCTGTGGTGACGTGGCCACCATTTAGTGGTGACTAGCGGTCTTTGTTGTTTTGCGAATGTGCGTGTGGGGAGCGGTAGCGTAGAGTAGCGGTCAGCGCGCTGAGATACGAACCCGGCGACCCGAGTTCGATTCCCGCTCACGGCGAACATCAGTGACGATTATTTGAACCGGTCCTGGGCCTCCCCTAGGTCGACTCGGCCTCAAGTGAGTACCTGGTGCGGTGTGAAAACATCGCCATTGGGGAGACAAAGGCGGCCGGCCGTGGTGCTGGCCACCCACCTCCTCGTGTGCCGTGCCGGCCTTCATAGGTGTTCGCTAACAGCACTCGCCCTAATATTCTGTTAAGGCTACGCGGGGGATCTTTGTCTTTGTGTGCGCTACGATGGTTTCTACGACACCGCCACCGCCTCTTCGAGCGCCAGTCGCGGCCTCAGTCGGTGCTCGCTCACAGCCCTTGCCCCGACGGTCTGCCAAGCCTACACGGGGGATCTGTGTCTTTGCGTGCAGGCGCTGAGGGCGATGGGCCGCCTCATGTGCGAGTGCTGGTACGGCAACGCGGCGGCGCGGCTCACGGCGCTGCGAGTCAAGAAGTCGCTCTCGCACCTCGAGCAGCAGACGTAGCACGGCCACGGCGCCACCACGGCGATCCCCGACCCGTGCCGGGGCCGGCCCCGACCCGGGCCGGGGTCGGCCCCGACCCGGTCCAACCTGGTCGGGGCCCCAACTCGACTCGACCCGATCTGGCACCTCGACCAGGCCCGGTCCAACGACGCCGACCGGACCCGACTGGATCTGACCCCGGCAGAGGCTTCTCGGTGCGGGAAGGCTGTGGAAGGTGACCTTTGGTGACCTTTGGTGACCTTTGGCAGGAGACGAACCCACGGCGCGGGCATCAGCGGGGACCCGGTCGCTAGACCATCACAGGGCGGGCGGGAAGTCCCCATACCCCTGTCCTAAAACCTCTTATGGACTCCTAAACAGTGAGTGAAAAAAGTATTTGATCCCCTGCTGATTTTGTACGTTTACCCACTGAAAAAGAAATGATCAGTCTATAATTTTAATTGTAGATTTATTTGAACAGTGAGAGACAGAATAACAACAAAAAATCCAGAAAAACGCATGTCAATGAGGGAAATAAGTATTTGACCCCCTCTCAATCAGAAATATTTCTGGCTCCCAGGTGTCTTTTATACAGGTAACGAGCTGAGATTAGGAGCACACTCTTAAAGGGAGTGCCCCTAATCTCAGCTTGTTACCTGTATAAAAGACACTTGTCCACAGAAGCAATCAATCAGATTCCAAACTCTCCACCATGGCCAAGAACAAAGAGCTCTCCAAGGATGTCAGGGACAAGATTGTAGACCTACACAAGGCTGGAATGGGCTACAAGACCATTGCCAAGCAGCTTGGTGAGAAGGTGACAACAGTTGGTGTGATTATTCGCAAATGGAAGAAATACAAAAGAACTGTCAATCTCCCTCGGCCTGGGGCTCCATGCAAGGTCTCACCTCGTGGAGTTGCAATGATCATGAGAACGGTGAGGAATCAGCCCAGAACTACACGGGAGGATCTTGTCAATGATCCCAAGGCAGCTGGGACCATAGTCACCAATTAAACAATTGGTAACACACTACGCCGTGAAGGACTGAAATCCTGCAGCGCCCGCAAGGTCCCCTGCTCAAGAGAGCACATATACATGCCCGTCTGAAGTTTGCCAATTAATATCTGAATGATTCAGAGGACAACTGGGTGAAAGTGTTGTGGTCAGATGAGACCAAAATGGAGCTCTTTGGCATCAACTCAACTAGCCGTGTTTGGAGGAGGAGGAATGCTGCCTATGACCCCAAGAACACCATCCCCACCGTAAAACATGGAGGTGAAAACATTATGCTTTGGGGGTGTTTTTCTGCTAAGTGGACAGGACAACTTCACAGCATCAAAGGGACGATGGACGGGGCCATGTACCGTCAAATCTTGGGTGAGAACCTCCTTCCCTCAGCCAGGGCATTGAAAGTGGGTCGTGGATGGGTATTCCAGCATGACAATGACCCAAAACACACGGCCAAGGCAACAAATGAGTGGTTCAAAAAGAAGCACATTAAGGTCCTGGAGTGGCCTAGCCAGTCTCCAGATATTAATCCCATAGAAAATATGTGGAGGGAGCTGAAGGTTCGAGTTGCCAAACGTCAGCCTCGAAACCTTAATGACTTGGAGAAGATCTGCAAAGAAGTGTGGGACAAAATCCCTCCTGAGATGTGTACAAACCTTGTGGCCAACTACAAGAAACGTCTGACCTCTGTGATTGCCAACAAGGGTTTTGCCACCAAGTACTAAATCATGTTTTGCAGAGGGTTAAAATACTTATTTCCCTCATTAAAATGCAAATCAATTTATAACAGTTATGACATGCGTTTTCCTGGATTTTGTTGTTGTTTTTCTGTCTCTCACTGTTCAAATAAACCTATCATTAAAATTATAGACTGATAATTTCTTTGTCAGTGGGCAAACGTACAAAATCAGCAGGGGATCAAATACTTTTTTTCCCTCACTGTAGGTAAAGTGGTCTGGGGACTTCCCGCCTGTATTACGATGGCGATGAATGAACGGAACGAGGTGTTCCCTTCATTGCTTTGTGTTGCAGTCGCGTGGTACCACCATCGCGTGGCTCGTCAACCTTCGGCACGAAAAGTGTGCACGTGGGTGAGCGGTGGCCTTAATAGGTGCTCGCTAACAGCACCTGCCCCAAGAGTGGGGGGGGGGGGCGGTAGTCGGTGACGTCGTCGTTCTCGCGATGCGCTAAAACCCCTGCGACCCCAGTTCGATTCCCGGCCACGGATAACGAATGGTAGCTGAACCTATTCGGAGCCTCGTGTTTGGTCGGCTCAGCCTTGAACGAGTTCCTGACGCGGTGCGGTCAAACGTCAACGCTGGGGAGACAAAGGCGGCCGAGCGCGCGGGGTCCTGGCCACTACCGCCCGCTCCGCGTGCAGTTGCCAGCTTTAGTAGGCGCTCACTGACAGCACTTGCCCCCAGCAGTCTGTTAAGGGCTACGTGGGGCATCTTTGTCTTATCTCGTGGTGTGTCTGTATCTTTGTTTTGTTCACCGTGTGTGATGTGGGGAGCGGTCGTGTAGCGGTTAGCGCCCTGCACAACGAACGCCTGCGACTCGAGTTCTATTCCCTCTCACGGTCAACACCAGTGGTGGCGATTATCTGAACCGGTCTTGGGCCTCCCCTAGGTCGACTCAGCCTGAAATGAGTACCTGCTGCGGTGTGTAAATATCGACGCTGGGGAGACAAAGGCGGTCGGGCGTGGTGCTGGCCACCGACGGGGGACCTTTGTCTTTGTGTCCACTGCACTGCAGCGGACCGCGTGCCCAGGAACGGCTGGAGCGTGGTGGGTTGGGGTGGGGGGAAACTAAACTACGCTTTGCGGCAGATGAAACAACAATAATTATATTTGTCTATCGTGCGTCAGAGCGCTTGGGCCGGTTTTGTGCTCTCTGCACTCATCAGCAAGCCACCTTGATGAATGTAATGAACATGGCTGCGCGCTTGGTGTTCGCGGATGGTCTCTGCATCGTCAGTGTCGTTCATTCTCCCTCTCTGAAGGAGCTCAACGAGTGGAAACCCGGGGCCCCGTGAGAATGTATCACGGTCAGGGCCGTGAATCCCACACACCTCACACGGCAGGGTCGAAGCGCGCCACCCACCCCAAAGCGCGGGGCCCCGAGGCGGTCGACCCCGAAATCGCGGTATCCCAGGTACAGCTCTCGTCGCGGTGTTCCTTAAGCCCCGGCCGCTCCGCAGGAGGTGACTCTCACCGGGATCCTCGATCTTTGTTTCCTATGCCGAGGCCATTTTTCTGACGATCGCGTGTTTTGGATAAATCGATTGGACGGAAGCAAAATGTTTACGTACTTGACAATTTTTTTG